CCTGGATGTAGGCTGGGACCAGAGGACTTATGGCATCCACCTGGATGTAGGCTGGGACCAGGGGAGGTATGGCATCCAACACTGGGGGCTTGATCCTGCTCAGTGATGCTGGAAACGCTGCATATGTCTCCAACCTCATGCTGGAATGTGCTGGTGGTCAAAACCCCTGAATACTTTCTATTTGTAGTGTCACTGTTCTACCGCTAGATCATGTGCGTACACATGGTCAGAGGTTTGTGTATATTTACACACATTCCTAAGTATAAGTACAAGTTGATAAATTCCACACTTTGCGTAGGAATGTTGGTACACACTGATGATAAATGAGGCCCCTGGTCTGGTGATCAGTACCTGGATTCAGTTCAGCTATTGATCAATCTGATGATCATCAGGAAGTAGTGACTGGTCTCCATGACAGCAGTTTATTCACGTTAACATTTAAATGTCAGTTTAACTGTTTTGTGAGTGAAAACAATTGTTTTTACTTTTGTGTTCATTTATTTGTTTATTGTTTATTTTGGATGTCACGGCGACGTCAGACGAACCAGAAGCTCTGTTGGACTGTTTCAGCATCTGTTGCTGATTCTCAGCACTCGTCCACAGGAAGTGAAATGATGAAAGTAATGCGAGTAAAAACAAAAGACAAACAAATAAACAAATAAATATGGTGTACAACAACATCACAGCAGGAACAGAGGAAACAAATAAACATAAACAATAAACATCACAGCAGGAACAGAGCGGCAGTTTGACAGCTTAGAAACATGAATGAGCTTCAGAGTGAAGGTCCATCACTTCAGGCTGTTCATGTGGTGGTTTGAGCTGCTGCTTGAGTCCTTTGTTAGAAGCATCCTGCTGCACTCTAGTTCAGGTTCGTGGTGGAGAGTTCCAGAGTTTTGCCCCCTTCAGGGGGACCAGACTGGCAGGATGAAGTCCTGTATCCTGGGCAGACCATCACCACTGGTGGAGGCTGAGAGCTCTGACCCCTGGTGGCCAGGTCACAGAACAGCGGCCTTACACGATTATTTAGACATTTAAAAAATTATTTAAGAGAACTAACGTTCATAAAATGTTCAAAGGTGAGCAGGCTGTTTTCTAGAAACGCAGCAGTGATGCCGCCTCACTGACTTTTGTTGTATGTGGAGATTATAGGTTTCAAAGTCGTAGAAGAAGCTGTGACCAGGATGTGATGCGATACGACCCATGAGAAAAACTCATTGCATGCATGAACAGGTTTGTAGCTCGATGTGACAAAACCAAAGCAGTGAAGACTTGGTGCAGATGTACTAACCCTGACCATCAGACTTTAAGTTCTTGTCCAACATGATGCCCAGGTACCTGACTTCATCCTCTTTTTAATCCTGACCTCAAATACAAGATGTGCGGGCCTGTTACGCATGGAGCAGCACATGGATGCAGTTCTTTTAACATTAGGAGTTAGACGGGATTCAGAGATGTTTACTGAAGCCCGGCTCAGATGCTCACCTGCCAGGCGGGACACATGGATGACCATCAGCTCACATCTGGCATCTGGACAGCAGCGTGGTAGGTCATTAATATACATTGTGAACAACAACGGACCAAGAACAGACCCTTGCGGTACTCCATGACACATTGCTGTCTCCCCCCAGGTATGATCTGAACATTGACTTAGTTTATTGAGTGAGACACTGGTTAACAGTGTCAGAGGCCTTTCTAGGTCCAGGAACGATGCCCCTACAACACTTCCTTTATCAACAGAGGCTTTGATCTTCTCTTTGCTGTTTCTGTGGAATGTTTTTGTCTGAATCCAAACTGCTGTGGATGAAGCAGTTGGTTAGACTCTAAGTGCTCCATTCATGTTCAGCTACAGTCTTCTCCAGAACTTCTGGGACTACAGGAAGGATGGCAGTGGACCTGTCATTACTTGCTAAGTCTCTGTCTCCTGATTTGTAAACTGGGTTAATGATTACAGTTTTCCAGCTGTCTGGGAGGATTCCTGTTTGTACTGACTGGTTTTCTAAGTCAGTAACTGGCTCCAGTAGACGGCTCAGATATTTGTCGATAAAAGCAGCATTTAGCTTCTGGATATCCGCAGACATGAGTTACTCATGTTTGCAATCACTTTGCCTTTATCATGGCACTCCTCCTTTATGTAAAGGAGTCTGTGTGAACGTGGTCAAAGTCTTCAGGAGATGACTCAGCAGATTTAACATGACTTGCTAATTCTAGAACAGACTCAGTAAAACACTACTAAAACCATCAGACTCATCCCTATCAGTAACTTTATCACAGACTGCGAGGCGTTTATTTTAGGGTGTGTTTTCTGGCTGGAGTTCGTCTGTTTATTTGTGGAGAGCTGTGACCGTTGGCCTCTTCATGAGTTTGGTGGAATGATTAGTCGTAGCTTCTGCAGCTCAGACACCACGCTGGTCCTTCAGCCAGTGAACACAAGGAGGTCAGTGTTGGCTGTAGGAGTTAAAGCCCTTCTCAGAGCAGGATCTGGCTCTTTGATGATGTGAAGGATGTCACTGTTAAACCATGGAAGGGAGTTCTTCTGAGGGTTGCACTGTGATGTAAATCATGTTTATCCTTTTATCCAGTTAATGTTCAAGTCCCCAAATTATGTGCATTCAGAACCGACAGAAGATTCTTTAGCTCTTTGTAGAAGTTTACGTCATGAGATGGGATTATAAAGCAGAGGTCTGCTAAATGTCATGTTTAGGGAGAGGCTTACACTCAGTCCTCAGCTCTCCAAGTTCACATTTAATTCAAGCTTTAAACTCTTAAAATGCTCCCTAATATAATGAGAACACCCCCTGCCCTTCCCTTGGGCCTGTCTCACCTGAGCAGGTATATCCTGGTATGCTAATGAGCTCAGTCCACCAGCTCTCAGATAGACACAGGAAGTCAAAGTTAGAACCACTAAGTTCTGTATCTGATCTACTTCTGATGTTTATCTGTCCTCCCAGAACTCCGTTTGGTTGTGTTTCAGCATCCAGATGATTTGGGCCTGATTCACCGTGAGACAGAGTTCTGACCATAGATATCCATGTAAAGGCCTTGATGTATGCATCTATTATATCTATATCTATGGTTTTCACTGCCTCTGCTTTAATATGGCGCGATTGGCTGAAGGTTTTTTGGCCTTTGTGGGACTCCATCTTTGTTGACATTCGTCAGCTGTTACAGACAGTTTATCATGAGGGTGATAATCCATAGCCTGTACATTTTGTGGGTAAATACGGGCCACAGAACCAACCTCAGTGCCAGCGATTCCAGGCTGTTCCAACATCTCTGCAGCTAGAGCAGCTCCAAGTGCTGGATGACCTGACTCCATATTCCCCTCCGAGGCTGCTGCAGGAACCCAACAGAACCCAACCCAAGAGCACCTGCGGGTACCTGGTTGCCAACGACGGCCGCTGGCCCCGCCCGTCCACCCGTCCATGCCTCACCAAGAGAGCCCCCCAGCAGCAGTCCCCTCCAGCCGGCCCAGTCCTCAGGGCAGCACTCGCTCCATCCCCCTGGACTGACAGCATCTGGCCCGGAGTCAGGGTGAGCTGGACGGCTGCAGTCACTGCAGATGTTTCTGGTGCATCGGGATGATATTTTGCACGTTTGGGTTAATCTCTGGATGGAGAAGAGGCCCAGGGTTCAGATGAACATCTCCCGCCAGCAGCAGCATCTTGGCTGATGACAGGTTCATTTTCCACCTGGTTGTGGTTGTTTTCAGTGCTGGCTTGAGGACCTGAGCTCGGCTGTCCTTGAAAATCCGCATGAAGACTGTTTTATAACCAAATCCGAAGAGGTCCAGTGGTGTTTGTTCTGTTAGAATGTCCAGTGTATCAGAGCCCATGTTGTGAGGGTTAGGGTTAGAGTTAGAGTCCAGGTGAGCTACAGATGGGTAAGGGTTAAGGATAGGGATAGGGTTAGAGTCCCAGGTGAGCTACAGGTGAAGAAAGCAGGCATCAGTAACAGCAGACTGCAAGTGAGGACTTATTGGCCGGTACTGCTTTGTTCAGTCTGCCTTTGTTTTTACTGGTACCGCTTGAAGGTAGAATGCAGGAGCTTGTTGAAAACCCAGAAAAGGGTCTTAGAAAGTCAGCAGAGGAGATCAGAAGCAGCTGCTGAAAGACTTCTGCTCATGAGTGGAGCCTGCAGACCTCCCAGCTGCTGCTGCTGCTGCCATCTAACCCGAATGCAACAAGTCTAAGCTGGAATAAAACCTGTTGTATCAGCTTTCCATGGACTTATGGACAGATAACACATTATACAGATAATATCTGACATCACAAGTCCACTACAGCTGCTTCCTGCCTTCAGCAGATGCTCCTTCATGTCATTACTGCCTGATGTTTCTGCGACATTTGAACAATCTCAAGTAAAATGGACTCATTCAGACTGAAGGAGAATGGTGAATGTGATGAGTGTAGGAGTGTTCTGGATGCTTCCTTTCCACATCCGGTTGATTACTCAGTGGTGATGATGACAGAAAATATCAACAAGTATTAATAACCTGGATCAGTAACCTGAGCAACAATCTACTAACCCTAACCCTAATTCCTAATGACTATTATTGTTATTATTATTATTATTATCACTACTACTACAGGTCCTGGTATATATATATATATATGTATATATATATATAACAACCCGTCCCAGGTCATCAGTGATCCGTGTGTGTGTGTTTTTCAGCTCTAACTGTCAGAATCGATGCTTTTGTCTGAATTGCAGCAGAAAATACAAACATTCAGATAAAACCCCTGAAACGTGTTTCCTTCACTTCTGACCGTTTCTTCATATCGGGACTTTGTTTTCATCTAAATCTTATGTGTGAATTGTTTTTCTTTTAATTAGCACAAAGTCAGAAGATTTAAATGTCTCGTCGTCCACATTCAGCGGCCATAAATCCTGCAGCACCTGAAGGCATCAGCGGAGAGCTGCGCTGTGATTGGTGGAGAGCAGGTGTGTCGTCAGAGGAGGCGGTCCGAGCAGGAAGTCAGAGGAAATGAATCAGCAGAGAGGGAACAGTCGGAGCAGCAGAGACAGACAGACGGACGTACCTGCGCAGGTGAGTTCACCACCTGACTGTTTCTGATCCTCTGAACATGTGGAGCTCAGGCAGAGGTTCGGTCTGAGCAGGAAGTCACCTGCAGCACAACAACCACCTGAAGGTCCAGCATGACTTCAGGTGAGCTGCAGACGTCCTGATCTGGACTGACCAGAACCCAGACCTGATTCCTGGTCCAATTAATTCTTTGTCTATTGTTGTGCTTTGGCTCTGACTCAGTAGTCTGGTTCTGGTTCTTGATGTGAACCCAGTCCGACTGAAACCAGCCATGAATGAATCTGCTGATGCTTCAGCTTTTATTAGAACCTTCTACGTTCACCGCTTTTGAAATGTGAACATTTTCTGAAGCTAAATAAAAAGTAAAAACAAGTTTTCATCATCAAACAGAATCCAAAATGTTGGTAGAAAACACTCCGGTTCTGGTTCAGTACCGCTTCTGTATCAGCTGACAGACTGAACGGGTTTGAGCCTGAAAATCTGCTCTTTTTATGTTAAAGTTATTTTTTTGGCCTTTGTGCCTTCATTAGATAAAACAGAGAGACGGGAAGTGGGGAGGACCTGCAGCAACGGGCCATGGGCGGGATTCAAACCCACGACCACTGCTTCAGGGTCTGTAGCCCAGAACCCGGGTCACCAGCTCAACCAGTGGAGCGATAGCGGCACAGATATCTGCACTTTAATTTAATCTAGGTGTCCTTCTTCATTTACACCAAAATAAACTCTAGAAATCATTTGACTCTGGTCGAATCTCCTGAGTGGAGGGCTGGGTTAAGGTGAAGTATGAGATTAATCTAGGGTGGGGTTGGGTTAACGTCTCCAGTTAGGGTTAGGGGGGTTAGGGTTCAGGTCAGGGGGGTTAGGGTTAGCGGGGCTAGGGTTAGCTGGATTAGGGTTAGGGGCGTTCGGGTGTATTTCAGCTTTTCTATTTGTGGTGTTCATCTTCAGGCGTTGCAGCTTTAAAAGCTCCTGATGGAACGTTGAACCACCTCCCAGACATTTCTGGATTAAAATGAGAGAGTCTTAATAAAACAGACCTGACAGGTGAGTCGAGGTTTACCTGAACCCTCCTCTGTGTGGGCAGCTCTGGTTTACTTTGGCACTTCACTAAAACACTCCTTCACCTGTCCACACCTGGAGCCGCCTCAGCTGTCCACACCCAGCGCACCTCGTCTACCTGGAGGAGAAGCTGAACCTTTGGTGTGGACGTTTCTCGTCTGTTTACTGACCAACGTTCAGGATGTTAGGGTTGCATGTGGTTGTTTTCTCTCCAGTGGAAACTGAATGAACTTCACTGTGGACAGAAACGGGCCTTCATGAGCTGTGATGGAGCGGAGACGGACCTAAAACCACCACCTTACTAACCCTAGCTAACCCTAACTAATCCGTACCAACCTTTACTAACCTTTACTAACCCTTACTAACCCTAGCTAACCTTTACTAACCCTAACTAACCCTAACCCAAGAGTTTCAAACGTGGACAGAAAGCCTTGGGATATCACAGTAAAGCTGAGTTGAAGGACACAGAGAGCAAAACATTCACATTAAAATCTATGTGAATGACTAAATCACATTTATGTAAATGAATAAACTCGTTAATAATCTAAACTTCTGCTCCAGCTTTAATGACAATAACCCCAAACTACAAACAGAGAAACCGTGGTTATCATTTAAGTAAAAGTCAGAATCAGCAGCGTTCAGGGTTCGGTTTGTGGTTCACTGCTCCTGTTTTCTTGTGTTTAGTGAGTCTGGTCAGCGATGGGCGGTCAGGTGACTTCGTTCGAGAACGTCCACGTCGTGGTGGTCGGCGGAGGATTCGGAGGAATCGCAGCCGCTCAGGACCTGAAGTCTCGAGGAATCAAGTTCACGCTGATCGACATGAGAGACGCTTTTCACCACAACGTCGGCGCTCTGAGAGCCTCGGTCCAGCCAGGTAAGGCTCACCTGGTGGTCCAGAGTTGATGTGGTTTACTCGTATGAGTCCATGTTGGTCTTTTACTGTCAATATTTAATATTTAAGTTTAAATTTTACCAGTTTTAACTTTAACCTACTTTTTAAACATATTTTTGTTTATTCATTAATTTTTGGCATAATCAGGTTTTTCATTAACGATATATTTAAATATATATTAAATCAGTATTTCAGTGTTTTGTTCAAACTATCCTTCTGCCGTTAATTCATTTTATTATCTGTAGTTTTACGTCAGGCCTCGTTCAGCTCACATTTTTAGAACTTATTTGTTCATTTCCTCTTTTTAAGGATTGTTTTGTGCATAATTAGGTTCACTTTGTCTAAATAAATATCTGCAGTTTATACACATTTTAATGGAAATAGTTTAGTTTATTTGTATTTATAGTGATGTTTAACTTCTTTGTAGAAGTTTGAAAAAAAAACAGTTCTTTGTCTTTCTGGGTTAGTTTTTCAATCCAGATATAGTCTGGGTTAGGGGTTAGATATA